AAATTTCCACATTTCATAATCGCTGTTGATGTCCAACGTCGGTTGGTGGTCCTTGCACAGGTAGGATGTGTTCTGTGGCTGGGCAGTGTGTGTTGATATAAATTTTTCAGTTGAAGGTACTTTCAAATGTGTTATAATTCCTGATAGGATAATAAATAACAGAAGATGAACTGAAAGTAGGGATAATGATGTAACATGAGTATCGTCCATTTAGTGCCAACAGTCTTCATAGCCTTTCATATTTCAGTTGTAATCTAAGAATAGATCTTTTACAACACATTTATCAGTGAGGCAGATGAAAGCAAAAATGCCTGTGCATATATTTGCAACGGCAATAAGACTTGTTAACTAAATGAGTAATCTATGCAAATAAGAGAGACATCATAGATGTTGGCCATGAAACAGTCAAAATTAGAATTCAATGAAAACTGCGTCTATAATGACCTACTGACTGGTTTTTTAACGTAGAACTTTGCACCGATATGCAGCAGTTCGAGTTGCCACACTCTTCCCACTTAGCACACAAAGCAAGAGAAGAAAGTAAAAAGAAATGCAAAATGGTGACAGTAAACAGAGATATGAGACAACAAGAGTAATAATATCGAAGAGCCATATAGTTTTATTGAACATTATAAGTCACAAGGAGTGGATGCATCTGAGCTACTGAGAACGATTTCGGGCTATATCACCAATTGTCTCCAGGCTTCATTGGTTTTTACCGTCCCGAGGACACCCAACCAGTCAGGAATTCTACATCTCCCTACGTGGCTATTGGGGTACCTAACCTGTCATATGCTCTTATGGTGTTCTCGTGACTTTTGTTGCCAGATCCGCCAATAGCGATGGGACCTAATGGTTATGTGCAAGGTTTGAAGAAGGCTGTGTGCTATATGCATGCGCCTCGTCATGATATACCGCAGTGCCCCATCAAGCTAAACTGGGTGGGACTCATGTTCCTGCAGGTTCTACCATGTCAGGAAAGTTGTTTGGATAGCGATTAGACTAAAAGCAGTTACCTTTGGGTACATGGGATCCAGAATCCAATCGGATCAAATGGCGTATGAACCCATATGTGTCACCGGAAACCATGAGAATGCAGCTTCTGACGCTGCTCCGCGGATTAGACTCCAAGTTAAAGGCTCGGGAGTGGTCGAGTAAGAAAATCACCTGCTTCTGTCTGGGCGCCCGGGCAGTATCCCAGCCCTCACACAATAAATGAAGCAAATAACTATCAGTGAAACTTATCTCGCGCCTGTAACAATGCTTTCAAGCAATAATCATGTCTCAAGTAATTTATCTCTTTCCAACCTTACTTGTATTTTTATACATAGACTCCTGTATTTTACCTTTGCTAACCTTGACGTCTTCACATTCGACAGCCTTTCGCCTCTGTTTGGATTCCCAGCCTATCTGTGCCGTTTCGAGATGTTAGTGATTAACCCTCAAAATGGTTGTCCCCGATGCGGCATCTAACACAGATATCCTGAAACCGCGTGTCGCATTCAAGCTGGTCGCCTACAGTTTTCGGACACTGATGCCAACCGGACAACAGGCAGGGTTTGTAAAAACATTGGAATACTTCGCTATGGATGTGTGGTAGATTTCAGAAATCCGAATTCAAGATCTCAGTGAAGTGCTTCGATTACCTCCTCCATCTAAAAGTTCGAATAGTATGTACCACCTGAGCTTATCAGGGGATCCTGTGCAGTCGGCATCCGGCGCAGCTGGTGTCGCGCCAAGCGCTAGAGCCGAGGCTGCATTACTCGACTGGGTCTCCATTAACAGTCGTTTACGTGCTGTGAGGCTGGAAGGTTATATGAAAGTGAGGAGTGGTAGGCCGTGTCTATTTGTTGTCTCTGTTTATACACCGACGGATTGCAGCCCAGATGCAATTAAGGGTGAGTTCTACTACCAACTCAGCGATCTCTTGCAACTGGCGCGTCCAACGGATATCGCAGTGCTGGTTGGGGACTTGAATGCACAGCTTGGGCGTCTAAGCTCAGAGAAGAATCGTCTAGGTGGTCATTGGGGTTTACATGGTCCCAGGTCAAATAATGGAGACCGTCTTCTGCAACTTTCCGCAGATCACAACTTATTTCTAGCCAACACCAACTTCCCGCACAGCCATCGCCTTAGCACTACCTGACGTCCTCCCTCTGCGAATCAAGCTTGAACTCATATTGCTGTCAGTTTCTGGTGGCGAGGATGCATACAAGACTGTCACTCCTTCTGGACGACATGCCTGGTCTCCGATCATGGCATTAGTGTGTGCCGGGTTTGTTTTGTGATTTGGTGGGGTTCAAAAACGGCGTTATCTAAACGTTGGTGTGAGCAAACTGGTAGCTTACTAGAATGAGTTACAATTAATGCTTGCTAGCAACCCTTCAAGTGGTATAGATCAACATTGGGTTCATTTGCAAAATGCCATACAAATGGCGAGTGTAGCCGCTTGCGGCTTAAAAGAATGCTCCGCTGAAATCTACTGGGTTTCTGCGAGTTCCTTGTGACTCCTGGATGAACGCCGGTTCATTCCGGCTCGCAGCGAATTCAACAATAAGCGAAAGGCGCTTACGCACAAGATTAGACCCCTGGTTGGGGTCCAAGAGATAGCTCGAAACGTTATCGGATACGGCCAAGAATCGTGATCAGTGGCAAACGTGTTGCGATTTCCTTCTTTCTTTCGTTCCCGATGATAGTTGACAAATACATTTTGAACTTGTTAGGTATGACCGTTGTCCTTCCGGATGAAGTTCTTTATCCGTTCTCTACTTATATTTTTACTTTTAATCTATGTTGTTTTACTATTATTGTGTGGCGTATCTTCTCGGTGCCATATAGTACCACGATTTTTGCGTTTAAATAAAATAAATAATACTTGACTGGCTTAAACTAACTTTTGTGGATTTCATTGACTGATGAGGCCATGTTTCGCTTTGACCACCGCGAGCCAGCTCTTTTCCAACTTGATCCATCCTATGTCAGCTAACATTACCCATTGTCGAGAAAGGCGATGGCTAGACATGCATAACACATGCCCTAATTATCCCTCTCAATCGGTGTAACTTCACAGCCTTGTCTATTGACTTCCCCTCTTTACCTAGCACTCGACCGAGGCCTAACCTCAATATTGCTCACCTTATTATACCACTTCACACGGGAGACAGAAAGCAGGCATCTATGATCAAAGACAGCTAACCTTTACTTTTATACAACAACTCAACAGTGTGCATATCTATTTGTAGTGTTCACTTATTTTGTTTTGAAATCCTCATTGATAAAAGAAGACTATAGATATGTCTTGTGGTCTGAAAAGTAACGATCTCTTCAAGATCTACTGATTGGGATCATTTTTTATTATGAACTCATTTTAATTTAGGTAATTATGCAACATCATGATGCCATTTGGGATTAATTTTTTAAAAAAGGTTAAATTAAACGGAATTAAGTACTCAGATGTTTTCAACTGCTTTCTGTTATAACAAACAAAGCAAAATAGCTGAACACACATAGCAGCTCTTAAAAGGTTAGAGCAATTCTTTATGTCTATAATAAGTGATTACATTGGGAAGGGAATATCACCGACGCAAAACTAAAGTTCTTATAGACTGGAATTCATTTTCATTCCACTGTATCTATGACGCAATCTATGTAGGTGGATTATAGTTCGTCAAGACAATAGATGACACCAATCGATGAAATCACCGACAGATGACCTGAGCCGCTTAGGGGAGTGTAGTCAGACTGCCTGACTGGTGTCCTCAGGATGCTAGGAATGAATTGTTAGAAATGGTTCAAAAACCTTTAAAATAACACAGATGTAAACAATCTTTATCATCTTTCGAATCCTGAGCGTCTGTTCAATTACTGTCTGCATCACGCTGTTGTTCGTTTATTGTAGTATCATTATTCTTTAATTTGTGTAGCAACTTGAACCTTGACACTTCTCAGTCAAGTTCTGAGTTGATCCATTCAGTCACGAAAATAAATATTATGCGCACTTCAAAGAAAAGATTACCTGTGCATTACTTATCAGTTGTTATTAAGCACCGTATAACATAATCACTTAGTAGTGTTTGATTGTTGGGATTGGAAAACACACACACACACTCAGCAATTAGAGAACTTCTTCAGACAGAGAAATCGATCTGCCACCATTCGTATGGGATGAAGCCTATGGTTGTTAGCTATATCGAGTCGCGAACCTGACCATCCAACCAATGTGTCATAAATCAATAGTACATAGTTCTCCATATCCACAGATTTGTAATATAATACCAGTGCCATCGAAAGTTATAAGCGACTCCATTTGTCATCCTTGTATCCAGTCTTATAAACCCTTCACAAACTAAATCGAAAAGCATCTTGCTTTTGTGGGGGGGGGTTAGTCAGATAGTCTTCTCTACGAAGCGTTGAGATATCTAAAATTTCCAAATCAAAGGTTAACAAAATTACAATACTTGCACACTCACACACACACACACACACACAAAGAAATGATTTCTTTCGCGCTTTAATTCATAGCTCACTTTTCTCAATAAAATCAAAATCAAAAGATTTCCAGAAAGAAACAAAACAACAAACAAACATAAATGTGTATCAAATTAATGCTTTTCAATGAAAGAAATCAAATGAAAAGAAATTACTGTGTATATATATAAATCAATAAATAAACATCTGTACACATGCATACACACAGGGAGATACACGCGCACATGGATACACACATACATACAAGTCATTAAAAAAAGATTGACATAAGGCTTGGGATTTATGAAAGGCAGAGTGAATCAACAATAAAAACTAAAAATGTATTCCCGCTCCTCCAGTCCCCCCGCTGGGTGTAAAGAAAATAAAGAAAAATATACATTAGCAAATATTGATGAAATCTACACTCAATTTGTTAAAGTGAGGTGGCGTGGCGTGGATGGGTGGTGGGTTGGTCGATGATAGTGTTGTTAGGTAAAAGTTATACAGGGAGTTCGGAGGATTACTTTCTCTATTTACTGACTGACTGGCTGGCTGACTGATTGATGATTTAACAATGGCAAATTCTCAATAAAACGAACAATACATGTGTAAGATAAATCATTGGGATACATTGGTTTACTTATATATAAATGATCTGAATCAATGCGTACTAATTCACCCATATCACGATCTAAAATTTGTAAAGAACAAATAAACAGAAAAAAGTGATACTATTAGTTATCAGGTATTGGTTTTGTAGGAATTTTGTTTGATAGTATGGAGGATTTCATCATGAGCTGATATCAGTTAGAGAACCACTGGAAAACCTGGGAGTACTGGACAGCTGTTTCGTCCTAGTATGGGACTCTTCATCTTCATGTAAGCTAAAGGACCCGGTGGACCCAATTAAACAAAATAACATTATTTACAAGATACCATACAATGACTATGAGCTAAGTCAACTATATAAGTCAAACTAGTAGATCAGGAGTAGTGAGATTATCAGAACATTTTAAGAATTTAGCTAAGGTTAGAATGATTCATCCCACCCGCTAAGATAAGTAATTTAGAAAAAAAACTCAGCAATTGCACTGCATGCATTAACACGCAACCACACAATAGAGTGGGTAGGACAGAGTCAAACTTCTAAACAGTAATATATGTAGGTGGAGAGAGAAATTGATTACTGAATCCTAGCTCATCGAGTCTACACCCAACACATGCAATAGAAGTGACTCAACGCAAATACCAGAGATATGAAAGATATTCCTACTACGCGTCAAATCGGAGAATAATAAATATTGTTAAAATGTATTCCATTCACATTAAAACATTCTAACAAGTTATTTATTTATTTTACTATGTAAACATCTTATTTCCCATCTTATTGCATTTTATTGATAACACTAATATTGTTATTTCCGACTGTACTTTATCTTATATTGATTTTATTCATGTGCCTAGTCAATTTTTATTCATGTATATAAATGAAGCAAGGAAGTTATGTGAGTGGGTACCTTCATATGATTATGAGCGGCAATAAATCGTTCTCGAAGCGTGGTCATCAGTAAATATTACTTACTGTGTAACTTTATCAAAATAAAATTTTATCCATAATGGAGTTATAATCTACCACACTGGCCGAGTTTTATCCATATATGACTGATAGGTAGTCAATCCGCTAAGTAGATAATAGTGTTTGCTACTGAGGGAGTTCATTAGGGGTTAATCAGTATAGTAAGAGACCGTAAGACCAATATTTTTTCCAAATTAATATGAAGCCCTATGTTCCACTAGGAACCCAAGGGAAAAATAAATAAATAATAACATGAAACAACACTAAAAGGAAGAGTATTAACCCCCCCCACCCCCCTACTCCGAAAAGTAGAATAAACACATATATTATTGCCTACCTGTGCCTTTTGACTGATAGCAGTCTAGATGTGGTGATGATTCGATTTTATGCATACTTTTTTTTATAACAAGAGATCTAAAATCTTAGAGCCAAGATAAAAAAATTCGTTTTACCCATAATTCTTTTAACTAAATTTCTAAGATTTGCTGGGGATGAACCATTATACCGTGGAAAATTTCAATACTACGGCATTCTAATACAAGTGAGACAATTGATCCCAACCTAAGTGTACACAATAGGAATCGCTAAGATTTTCACTGTTTCTGGAAAATCTTTTTGTTTAAAAAACAACGAAGATCTGCTTTGAATTTCTGAGAACCTAAAGGATACATAATCTTGTAAGTATTGGTTTTTAGGGATTTGATTGATTGGTTACAGGATTTAATCATGAGCTGAAATCGGTTACAGAACCATTGGGGAACCTGCAAGGAGTACTGGACAGTTGTTTCCTCTCACCGGTCTGCGACTCTTCAGCGGTACACACCCACCACAAGGGGTTCGAACCCCGGACTTTCTGGCTACAAGGCCAGTAGTGACCTCGTAGATCATTAAGCTAATGGAACCCACCGATCCAATGGCCAGTGAATGAATTGTAACTCCTGCCAATTCACGTTATAGTCCAGCCACTAGTGAATGTCATCCGTGGCGTGTATTTGTCCTCACACCCGACATGCTACACCCTACTGGTCACGACTTCCCACAAGAACCAAGGTAACTACCTAACTGAATAGGATCAGTCGCTAGTGGATATTTCATTGATATTCAAGTATTGGTGAATTGGCAGAAGTTAAAATTCTTGGGCCATGGGATCGTGTTACAGTGGCTGAATGGTCTACGAGCCCACTGCCCTTGTAACCAGAGGGTCATGGGTTCGAACCCTGGCGGTGAGTGCGTAATTCTGAAGTGTCCCAAACTGGAAGGAAACAGCTGCCCAGTACTCTCTGCAGGTTTTCCAATGGTTCTCTAACTGATGTCAGCTCATGATGAAATCCTGTAACATAATCTTTTATTTTTACTACGACAAGAATGCTTAAGAAAACTTCTGAATATTCGTGAATTTCTCTCTACTGCGTAGATTTCTTGTTGACAAGAGATAACAACTGATATGACTGAGGGATAAGAAAAAAACAGCAACCCATATGTCTTTTTGCATGACGTAAATTTGAAATGATAATAAATATACAAAAGGTGATAAGTTGACATATCTCACCTCTAATATCTTCTGGAACCAAGAGTACTGACCAAAATCTATTCACTGGTGTTACACGACTTTCAGCCATAGATAGCACTCGGACGGACTGACGATATGCCCACATATTAAACCATACATGTAGATCCAACATATAGTTTGAGTCTACCAGAGTGAAAAAAAAGAAAAAAAATTATAGAAACCCCAAAAAACAGAAAAATAATCCCACTTGAACAAAAGTGAGAATTTAGATAAAGAAACATTTAAGTCAGTTAGGAATGGGGAAGCAAGTTTATGTTCTTCTTGAACCAATATAAACGATTAGAAAATATCGTATCCTCAAGAATGAACATTTTCATCATGCAGCTACAAACCATATCGACTATTGGTAATTTCCAGTAAACACAATCTGCATAAAAGTAATTTTGAATTAATTGCAAAATATGAAGCTGCACAAATTCTTACTAGTAGGGCGAATAGTGAGGTTTTATTGATACAAAAACCTAGTTGTTTAGTGAACGATGTAAATTATCAGAATTATTAGTTACTAAGTATGTAAGCACTACGGTATCATCATAGTATAAGCTGCTTACAAAAAAGAAAAATGCACCATGCCACAAAACGCGTAAATAATTCAAATTTCCCGAGACTAAAAGCAGGCAAAACTAAACGTTAAATTAAAAGTAAACGTGTTTATTGTATCTAATTTCTCTTGAAACTAACGATATTCACGCATCAGTTAACTCATATATTAGTGTATTACAATTGCCTGACGCGATGACTATACAAATAGCTTTCTATAAGGAGGAGCAAGAAATCCCAGAATCAAATCGATTCGGAGATATCATTGATGAGGTCCATCCCAATCAAGCTAAGTGGCTACATTATTAATAGTTTACGTCAGCTTAGGCTAGATTAGTGAACAACATAGATTGATGCGGGCAGTCTTCAGCCTTTTACCTCAGTCAAAAACGTGAAGAGTCTATGTGGGAAATACTTTAAATTCCTAATTTTCCCACCTAATATTTGGAACAATCATTAGACAAAATACACTGGGTCTTCATTGTGGAATATAATGGAATATTCTCTCTTGCTTTTAAAGAATAGCTGATGTGAACGGATGTACTGATCAAATTTTTTTAACTAATCGATTATGTATCTGTTCATGAAACAATTTGCAGCCGAATAACATAACTGTTCTACATATAAGCACTATGCCTTAAAAATGATTGATTTTCATTTATGTGGAAGCTTATTCAACTGAACATATATGATACTACGAATCTAACACACACATAAACATATTTTTGTTTCCTAGAAAATATCAGTGTTCATCAGAATAATGAAAAATACAGACTTATACCTAGTAGCATCATAAATGATATAGTGAGTTTATGTAAACGTGAACTAAAAAGTTGTAAGATTATTCATTTTTGGTTGGAGGATTTCATTAAGAGCTGACATCAGTTATAGAACCACTGGAAAACCTAGGAGTGCTGGACACCTATTTTGTCCCAGTTCGGGACTCTTCATCAATACGTACCCACCAGGGTTCGAACCCGGGGACCAATCAAACAAAGTCCCTACAAAACCAAGACTTGAAGATTGATTCATTTTTCCCAAGTTCAAATTATATAGCGTGGAATATAAGAGGAATACTAATACTATTTGAACTTTAAGACGGTCAAGTATATCAGTTCATAGAATATTATCCACAGAGTCGAAGGATTTTACGGAACTGTATTGCTATTTGTCAGTATAGGACTTTACAGGCTGAAAGCATGTTGGAGAATGAACAGAAAGGTGTGAAATATGTAACAATGGTCATTCAGGAACTAAAAAAAATTCAGCAATTAAAATAATCATAACAAGACTCTAGACATTCGCTTAACATTCAGCTGCTGTTCAGGGTAAATGAAGACCAACAAAACACTTTTTGAAGAGAAATAGTCGTCATGTGACGTATGCTACTGATAATATTTAACAGTAGTATGTAAACAGCCGTTCATCAGACTACAAGTTTCCAGACCGTAGATGTAACGAATTTCCTGAAATAATCTGACAGCCGAGTCAGATTGAATCCTTATAAATTATTTAAGAAAAATCAAAGCAAGACTGTTCTGAATGTTTCGCTGCATAAGCCGTAGCTTATTCAGAAGAATTATTCGCACCACATTTAACCATCAAAATACATAGTCATGTAATTACATAAATTGAAGTCAGTTCCTTTGATGGTCACTCTTGCCGGTGGATATTTGTACCAATAGAAAATTGTAGACAGTCATCACATATTTGTAACGAATAATGACTAATGTCAAATTGTCACATGTATGCATATTTGTCCGTATGAGTGTGTGTGCATGCATGTTTGTTATGTGGGAAACACGTCAAAACATGATAATATTTCATTATATGGTCATAATTTAGGATTGGGATTATTTTTCTCTCTCATCTGTTTTGCCTCATTACAGAGAAACTAAAGTTCACGATATGCAGGAAACTAACACATTCCAACAAGTATTTGAATTTCCAGTCACATCATCCAATAGGAATGAAAGTTTCAGTAGCTTTAAATCTCGTTAACAGAGCTGAAAATATTATAACGGATAGTGATGATAAGGAGAACAAGATATCTAATATAAAACAAATTTTGATTGGAAATGGTCTTCTGAAAAGGCTACTAAATAATATTATCAATAAAAAGGAGCAGAAGGGAAAACATGAGAAAAATTGAAAGATCTTGGCTATCGACGATAGCCATTCTATATTGACAGGACACAGCTGAACAACTTCAAAGACTTCTTGCTTCATATAATATTAAAGTTTATTTTAAGAGCTCTAATTCTCGAGAGGAAGATTTGGTGAATTTCAAAGATATGGTTACTAAAATGTCACAAAGTAATTTTGTCTATAGGATAAAGCGTTCAGAATGTGAAGCTTGCTGTATAAAAAAGGGAGCAGTAGACAGGTGAAGGTTAGAGTAAATGAACTGTGCACGAAACGTCGACCTAGAGATGAGATAGAATTATGAAGTTTATAAAGAGGATCAGCTATGGGAATGCACACCATAGACAGCGGACATAAAATTGATTTCGACAATGTCGAAATTCTAGGATGAGGCTTCCATTCACATAGAGAAAGGTTGACCTCTGAAGCCTAGCACATTTTAACCACATCGAATGTAGTAAATAGGAGAGAAGGGATAGACTTGTCACCTATATGGCAGACTCTAATGAAGCAAAACAGATGAGGAAGAAAAACAAATCCAATCCTAAATTATGACCATATCATGAAATATTATCATGTTTTGACATGTTTTCCGCATAACAAACAACATGCACACACATACACACACACTCATACGGACAAATATGCATATATATGACAGTTCGACATTAGTCTTTACAAAATGTGATGACTGTTTACACTTTTCTATTATTACAAATATCCACCGATATAAGTGACCTTCAAAGGAATTAACTTCAATTTATGTAATTTTTGACTATGTATTTTGATGGTTAAATGTGGTGCGAATAATTCTTCTGAAGAAGTTGTGGCTTACACACCGAAGCGTTCAGAAAACAGACCTTGTTTTTATATTTTCTTAAACACGCTGGAATTATTTTAGATAATGTATAAAGACGTTCATCAGCATAAAAATATCAAAAAGCAGGGGGATAGATTTGATGTCAAAGAGAGAAAATGAACTAGCGTTGAGAAAAAAACATGGGAGACACGAAAAGAAGACAAAGAAACACAATACAAAGACCAGAAATAGCGCAACACGGAAAATATGTGCAAATGATGATTTGAAGATAGGGTTTACATAGCTTCACTATTATACAGAGATGTACCATGTTCCAAATAAACATTCCTTTACCAAGTCTCTTATTTTCTACCGTTACAGGAATACAGTAAAGGGTCTTTTTGAACTACTGGATCTTCATAGCATATTGTTTTCTTATTTTATGATGAAAACAATTATTTTTGATTTTTAATCAATGCCAGCCACAAAGCCATCATTGAAGAATCCTTCTCTACCACCTATCTTGTGTATAAAGATAAAAGTAAGGTTGAAAGGACATAAGTTGTTTAAGGTATCGTTATTACTTGAAATCATTTTTTTTCGAGCGCGCGGAGAGTTTCAATAATATTTTGTTGTTTTCTGTTTGTCTGTCTGGATTCAACGTAGAACTTGCCACCGAAGTGCAGCACTTCAAGTTGCCACGTTCCAAATAGCACACAGAGGTAGACAAGAAGATGGGTGAAGAGAATCAATAGAGTTTGACAAGTATAAGAGTGAAACAGAATGGATAATGGTAGAAAGGAATATGAAAGATTACAGAGACTGAATACATCTGCGCTGGCCATTGACAACGATTTTGAGCCATGTCACCTATTGTCTCCAGCCATTGATTCCTAGAGTCCCTAGGGCCCCAACCCGGAAGTCTGCATCTCCCTACCTGACTCAGTTTAACTGTCAAGGATTACATGGATTCATACCATGTTTTTGTCTGGCCACCACTTACTCTTTTCCAACCTGCACCTATATCAGCTAGTAATGCCCGTTGGGGGAGGCGATGGTTAGGCATGCGCAGCACCTGACCTAGCCATCTCAATCTATGTAACTTTATAGCCTCGTCGATTGATTTTCCCTCTTTGCCCGACACTCGACGCCTAACGTCAACATTACTTACCTCATTGAACCACCTAACGTGAGAAAGAGATCGCAGACATCTATGATCGAAAGCAGTCAACCTTTTCATGTCTTCAACTCGTATTGGCCATGTTTCAGAGCCATAGAGAAGGACAGAGCGAATTGCTGAGCAGTACACACGTCCCTTGGTTGATAGCCAGGTGTCACGCCTACGCCAGAGATGGTGTAAGTCAGCGAAAGCAGCTCGAGCTTTTTGGATCCGTGCTGAGATTTCGTCGCCAATCAGTCCCTTGGTGCTGATACAGCTTCCCAAATAGGTGAAGTGGTCAACATGTTCTATCACTTCACTCCCTATCACCAAGCTAGGAATTGACGTAGTCCAGTCCTGTTGTTTTACTACATTTCTTGTGTGAGGGCTGAGATACTGCCCGGGCGCCCAGACCAAAGCAGGTGGTTTTATTAAGGGGCCACCCCCCGAAGCTTATACTTGGAGTCTAATCTGGAAGGCAGCGGAGCAGCTTCAGGAGCTGCATTCCCATGGTTTCCGGTGACAGATATGGGTTCATACTCCATTTGATCCGATTGGATTCTGGAGCCCATGTACCCCATGGTAACTGCTTTTAGTCTAACCACTATCCAAACAACCTTCCTGACATGGTAGGACCTGTAGGGATATGAGTCCCAGCCAGTTTAGCTTGTTGGGTCACTGCAGTATCGAAGCCCGACCACCACGGCAAGGAAGCAGTTGTCGGCCAGGCTATCACCTAGCAGGTACCAAATAAATTGTCAAAAACATCCAGGCACCGTATACTTCAAACAGTAGAGGCCATTGCAATTCGCCTTAAACAACTGATGCTCTGTATACAGAACAAGCAAGTCCAGCCATTACTACTGCCCTGACTAGGCTTCAGTGGAGACTATAAATTCATGAATTTGTATTATTATCTTTCCTAATTGACGTTTCTGATATTCAGTGTATCGCTATGTTGATGCCATTGAACTGCAATCCATTGATATCCTTATTATTGATTTGATGTTATATACACAACATGAATGTTATTCATAACAGTAATTCATTCACTCTTATGTATATAGGTAACTGTAGAGCCTGATGATGAAGAAGGGGTTATCAAAAAGAATATTCTTTGTTCAGTAACCATTCTTTTAAAAGAATTTTAATGGACACTTTTAATCAGTCAAGTAAAATATCGACTTACTTCTTTCAAGTTGAATAGCCTCAGGAGTAAGTGCCCAACGGAAAGGCCGACGATATAAAGTGAACAACGACTGATTCCCTCTGTGTGGTGTACTCATGAATACAATTGCATGTGTACTGTTAGCCAGATTTTGATATTCAGAAGGAGCCAGATGTGAATCATCTGATAAATTAATTAAACTAGTATCACTATAATCTTCATATAGTGAACGATCACAGTTGGGAGAGATAGACAGTTGATTTACGCTGGAGAGATCTGATACATCATGCATTTTGTTCTCCTCGTCAGCTGAAATGTCATCAGAGTTGTAAAGTTTAGACATAGAGGCAACTTCATCATTTTCATTTTCATGACAATACCATTTACACGGAGGTGAAGTATTAGGATGCAGTGAAGTAGGATTATTGCTTTCCACTGGAATGGAGTGATTTTTTTCATCTAATTGTGATAAATCTCCGTAAGTTTTTGGAGTATGTGTGAAGTTTTCAGTGGTTGATGTTGCATTGAGATGAGATTGTTCATCCACATATCCTTCAGATGGATCGCTGGTATTTACAGATTTAGCTAGACGAAGCATTTCTTTCACAAGAATACCTATCAATAATTAAGAAGAAAATATTTTTGAAATTAGATCACGGAGATTGAAAAAAAAACATGTACGTTTCACTTATAGACAGATTGGAATATTAGCATATTTTTTTTATTAATTCAGTACATATAGTTACGTATGTAAGACTGCTAGTCAAATCTTACGTGAGGCCTAATGAATCTGTAAGGTTGAAATAGAAGGAATGAGGGTTGAACTTATGTCTCATAATATGAAAGACAACAGTTCAAGTTGAATGAGTCACACAAATTATTATTATTATTAAGAAGTCGACATCATAATAAGTACATCTTAGCTGATTTAGTAGTATACATTATCACACAATCAAAGTGATATTCGTATATACAGTTAAATAAATCCAACAGAAATGAAGATAACATTAATACCATTTACAAAATATTTGTATGAACTGTAACAGACATTACATCGGTCAAAGTGGGCATCCCCTTCGAATCAGAATCTAAAAAAACAAATTAGCTATAAAAAGACATTATATATATGCGTCGGTGGTACAGTGGTTAGGACTCTCGCCGACCATGCACATGGTCCGGGGTTCGAGCCCACGCCGACGCACACCTGATATCTATGCTTGGCCCGTAAAATTTGGGCTACCGATATCCATGCTGAAAATTCCATACTTGTACCAAAAATACAGTGTGGAATCAAGCTGTAATAAAAAATAAATAAATAAAAATATTCTTTCGTATCAATGCATGTGGATAACTATGGACACCAATTTGATAATTAGGACAATGTAGAAATTTTATGTAGAAGAAACACCAAAACTGCAGTCATGGAATTCCTAGAAGCCTGGTACTCAAGAGAATCAGCAGTTAGTAAACACATTACTATAGACCAAATTTACCACCAGCTAATAAAAAGTAAATCACATGCTGACAAGAAAGTTCAAATTCCAAATCAATAAAAATGATCAATAAAGACGTAAATCAACAACTGGTCAAGACACTTATTGCCAGGAGACATAATTATATCATTCATGGAGAATTCAAATGAGTTCATTCTATAGTAAAACATGCGGTGATGTTGCCTAGCAGGTGGATGACGAAAGCTCCGCAGTTAAATCAACCAGTTTAGAGAACACAACTAATTCAATATCATCTACCTGAGCTACAAATCTTCTACATTATTCTAAAATGTTATTTATAAGTACTACAGTTCCTATGGATTGTAAATTGAAATGTTAATGTAACGAATAAGTTTTAGGCCATTTTAAATATCATTTTACGACACTTTGATTTGAAATATTACGCATACGAAGTGTTGTTTTAATTGAATAGGCCAAGGACGACAACAGACGAAAAAAACCTACGACAATTTATGAACTACACTGATTTACACAAATGACTTAAAACCTATAACGTTCAGCGAGAAATGAATTCTGGCTTAAACATTATATAACAGTAACAACAGGGAAGGCAGGAAACAAAACACCCGTGTAATAATAATAACAATATTTCGAAAATGGGATTTGTGGGTATTTGGATCAATTTTAGCTGTCAGATTTAGTCACCAGTCAAAATCAGTTAGAGATAGCTGAAAAGCAGGAAGCACTGGACAGCTGTTTCGTCCTTCTTTGTGATACTTCATCGGTGTAAACCTATTCTCCCACCAAGGACCTTCAGTGATCACTCACTGATGATGTTGCTTCACAATAAAATCTAACAAGTGAAATTAATCCAAACCTCATAATCTAAGTATCAATCTCCACGTCTTTGATAGTCATCGGATGGATTTCCTGGGGCTCTGTAGTGACAAGTAATTACCAGCAAGGTCCATCATTTACCAATGAAGTCGATGCTCATCGAAGGTATTGTTGAGGGTAGCGTTGTATTACGAATTAACGAAGTTAAAATTAACGGGACATTGAATTCCGACTGAAGTGTTTCGATGCTTATCAAGCTTGATCTCGTAATCTGGAGGGTCCAGCAGTCGATCCCTGGTGGGGTCTTAGATGTGCATTACTGCAGAGTTCCAAAAATGAACAAACAACTGTCTAATGCTTCCTGGTTTTATTATCGACCTCTAAATGTTGGTGGTTTTTGACGAAATCTGACAGCAAACATTAATATTTGTTCTATCCCCAAACAATGTTCACCTTTTCAACTATCCACTATATTCAACAGATGGGTAGTGACTTAGAGTGGAATCCAGGATGTGCATTTCATCCTGTTTCGGACTTGTCAGCTGGATGTACCTGCATTCCCCAGTCACTGAGTGATGGTGTTCCCACCGAGGCTCGAACCCAGTGCCCATAGTTACCAAGCCCTTCAATCGAATCAAATCTAAAACTGAATTAAATTATCCACTATATTTATTATGTATTGTAAACTTGTTTCTTAGGGTATCGTTTACTGTATTACCATTATTTCACCTCATCATATCTGTCATAGGTTAGCTATCCGATCCTCTCTAATATTAACTTCTCTACAAACTTGAATCGTAATCACATCACATCATTATTATCACGTTGAAATATCATTCTATTATGTTTGAATGGAATTTGTTATCTTTATGAAAATGATTATTCAGGTTGTGAATTATGTCATTTTTGTCTCAGTGTATATGTGAAAACACTTATTTTGTTATTGATTTTAGCACTGAACCATACGAGATTATTTTCAAATTGTACACTAATTTTTAGCTTAATGTATGCATAGGACAAATATTCGCCACGCATGACATTCGTTAGTAATCGCGCTATGTCATGAATGAGACGAAGTTGGAATTTAGGAACTGGCCATTGGATCGGGTCCCAGTGGCTTAATGGTCTACGAGCTAGCTCGCCTCGTAACCGGAAGGTCCTGGGTTCGAGCTCTGGTGGTGGGTGAGAACAGTTGAAGAGTCCCAAACTAGGCCAAAACGGCTGTCCAGTACTTTCAGGTTTCCCAACGGTCCTCCAACCGATGTCAGTTTATGGTGAAATCCCCGTAAACCAACACATTAATGTATATTGGTGAGATGATTGAGACTGTCCGAAGTGAGATGAATTTAAATCATCCCATAATGTTTGTTCTCCATATTTTACAAAAATGTATAAATGAAACTCAATGTATGAAATAATGATGAATTGAAAAGAAGAGAACAATATAATGGTAGAGAGTATGTAACTAAGGAACTGTTCAGACTGACTATCCATTCTTTTCCGTACACAACATCCCGGAATTTTTTCAGTGGAATGGGACAAGCATGAGAAAACAATCGAAAAACCTTCACTTGTTATTGTGTAGCTCGATGACTATAAAAGCTTTCCATAACAAATACAGAATAATCATAATCCGATGAGGAACAGTGTTAATGAGTCTATTTGGATACCATTGCAAATACTTGTTAGTCATATAGGATAGCCTCCAAAGCCTCAGGATGGTCGGGGATGGGTGTCTTGCGCTGCGGGTTGGCCACCCCTCCGTACACCTCTTGAAATGCTCCCATATGACCGGGCGTCTTACATAGCCTCTCCTGAGGAAGTCCTACTCACTGCCTTCACGTGGCGGGGTATTTTTCACCTAAGTGAGAGGGCGAAAGCGGATGCCCGGCGCTCTTCACCGGGTTGACTGTCCATTGGATGACAGTCTAGGGGAGATGGCTAAACCCTGCCTGATTCCAAACCTCAAACGACTGGCGTATGAAGCTCACCGGCAGACGTATGGACAAAGGGCTTATTGGATGCCCTGGATGACTGGCCCCATTCAAAAAGGCGAATGAACCGGACTCCGGTCACCGGCTGCCAATAGATAGTGGACTCCCTACTCCACTCCTACTGCCTTGTAGGTCACACTTGGTTGTGTAAAGGCTAGAGCTGCACTCTCAAACAAAAGGCCGAGCGATGCTGGGGACATCACTCGTACCCAATTCCCATGAAACTTCATGGTTCATGAAGCCGGCTCATCCTCCCGTAGGAGATAGCCGAAGTAAAGTAAAGTAAGTATATAGGATAGCGTTTATTAACAAGTTTAGGAAGACATCTTTCCTTACGCCAATGTATTCGCTTCCATAAACACATGTAAACCAGCATACCACTGATTTAATGAGGATGAATGACTTATTTTTACCAACTATCTAACACTACCCATGCATTTCATTACTTTTTCTAAACAGTAACCTTATCACATTTAGACAGTAACGTGATGTGTACGTCCTTCCCAGGAATACCTTCCCAATGAGGCATAACACACACAACTAATGACAACCACCATTTTGAAAAGACACAGTATTCTAAATCTCACCTAAAAGCGTACTAATATGTCAGAAAGAATTACTCTGGAGTTTATGATAAATTAACGCCATGAAGATGCCAAGACTACATTTTAAAAAATACATAACAAAAGTGTAAACAAGGTGAAAATGTTCTCCAGTGAAGTTTCTAAACAGTAGACACATCCAGGGTAGATTAGTGCAGTAAAACTTTTGAGTAGACATCATTGTTGCTGCAACCTGAATTGAACACAGGCTACCACCTCATCTCTCTCTATCTTATCTATATAAAAAATATCTCACCAGAATACATACACTTAAGGCTTAGTATTATCAATTTTCTCATTACAATAATAGAAAATTATAGTGATGCGGGTTCGAATCTCAGAAGGGACATAAGTTCCTTCGAGGTTACAGATACTCCTTGCTGATGACTGCCAGCTCTAGCTCGAAACCCAGGTGTCCAAGGCTTCCTATCGATTGCCTCCAACTACCTTATACCAACAATTCACAGTACACCGTGATAGCAAGCCACCTAGAATGGTGGCCGATCAAAAATATCCAATACAGTCCTACACGAGGTCAATCGCTAGCCTGAATAGCTCAGTGGTAACGTCTTTGACTGCAGGCAGCAAGCACTAGATGACGAGGGTTCGAATTGCAGAAGGGACATGAGTTCCTTCAAGGCTGCAAATACACTTCGCCGACTGATGAGTGCCAACTATCACGAAACCTAGTTGGAAGGCATCCTGTGACCGATTAACTCCAACCATCTAATACCAAAAAATTACAGTCGTGCCTGATTTGACACAAAATGTATAATTACAATGATAACTTGGTAATGTTCTTAATGAGTTTTAAGAAAGAAAGAAAGAAAAAAAGCACATCCCGAAGTAGTGACAAATCGATAGATTGAGAAATTTCAAGAATGTCTAACATATACAGATTGAGAAAACATCAGATAAAGCAGGTATTTTATAAATCTATATAAAAAAGTAGTACGAAAGAGGAAGACACTAATCTCTTTAGTCCTCTTTAATACCATATTATTCATTAAAAGATATTTAAAATGCTTTGTCTCTGATGCGCACAAGCCGGTCAAATTTATTATTTTTTTTTCGCTAAGCAATGTATTATTTATTTTTCAGCTTGACCATACTATTGTTGAAAGTAGTTAGTGTGTTCACATTATTGTGTGTAATAGGCGTAGAGTGTTAGGTAATGAAGGTGAATGAATCGATGAGTTTGTGAAGCTATATCCACTGAGATGGCTAAGAAACCTGTTGAGCATGATAAAAACCACCGCCTTCCTCGACAGATAGTGTTAATCGGCATAGAATTGAGTTGAAAAAGAGCTAGTGGTGGTTTAACCAAAATATAACATCACTCCATGAAATCCACAATAGTTAGTTTAAACCACGTAAGAAGGTGTAGACTACCTGGTTTGGGTTCTCAGGATACTAAAAAACCAATTCCTGGAGACAATTGGCGATTTGCCTTGAAGTAGCTTTCACTGCCTCAGATGCATTCGTTGTTTGTAATTTCCCATATCTATAAAAATCTAATATTTTTCCATGTTAACATTCTTTCTCCCTTACATTTTTGTCTGTTAGATTACTTTTGAGTCCCGTTTTCCCTATCTTTATATGCTCTATGGAATGTGGTAACTTGAACTGCTGCACTTCTGTGGTAAGTTCTCATCTGAAACTCAGTAAAGTCATTGTGCATAACAGGTGTCTCACTAATTGTGACCTTCCTTCCTTGTTTCCTTTTGAGTCGAATCTTCCTGTTATGATCCTGGACAAAATTGGCTCCCACCGTATTAGAGCTTTAGCTGCTTGCTATTGGTGACATCATTACAGTCTCTTACTGTCCCAGTATGCTCGTGGTTGTCTTCCAGGTGGCCCGAGTGAATTACTGACTCTCCAAATGATAATTTCGACAGTCCACATCCATTCCACCTAATCTCGCAGATACCCAGCACTCCCATAGCATATCTTCTCATTTCTTTGGCTACCTGAACAGCCCTTCCAGCCAGTCTCGTACATCGTACGGACATTCCACGTCCCCACTCTCATTCCTGCTTTCATCGAGAGAAGACACACTGGCTGGCTGGCTTCCCAAAGGCTTTCACCAGCTGGCGGCATCATTTCGCCTCTCCGAATCGAGCGAAGCATAAGATAGTTCTTTGAATTTTTGTATTTTGAATATAATATTTGTGTGTTGAAGTTTCTCTAGCAGTTTGACAGCGTTTTTGTGGCCTAGGGTCGCTAACCCCACACCCAAACCTCCTTCTTTACCCGGGGTTTGGGACCGGCTAGGAAACTAGCAAGCTAGTTAACCAGGCGAGCTTCGTGTCTCACTATTCAGAATAAATAATAATACTAATCGATATAAACCGGAAAATATGTATATTATTTTATCAGCTAATCAACTCAATTAAGACAAATAGATATTAAAGTGAGAAAAAACACAACTCCGCATGATGCATCATCTTACAATGACTGTATTAATTGATAGTTATATTTCCTACAGTCGATTAGAGTGTATTGTGCAAATACAAGAGCAATTTTTTTAATTTGTAGAGAGTAATGTGAGCACTAAATCTTTCTTTTTGTTTTTCATTTGAAAAAGATGAAATATAGAAAAAAAAACAAAATCAAGTAAATACCTCCTGCTGAATGTGTAATCCATACAATAGGTCGACAGCCAACTTCAGCTTTTTTCAATTGTTCCATTATATCAACAGCTCGTTTATCTAATGTACGCCTAAAAAGTTAAATATAATCAGTTAGAACAGATAATAAGTGGAATGTGACAATTATATGTTAGTCAAAAAAAATGAGATTATATTTTTGTATAAATATTGAACTTAGCATAGATTTGATGAATTGTATCTTATAATCCAATAAGTAAAATAAATAAATAAGGTAATGTGAACGATCGTGTTGTCTTATAATTCCTATGGTATACTTCAATAATACAATAACATAGAAAGAAAGGGCAGCGAATCGGATGACCAAAATACCCCGAATATCAAAATACCATCTATGTAACCACTAAATGTTCTGGGCATTGAATGGTCAGTAATACTAAATTAAGCATTATAATACTTGGGGTCGCGCTAAATCACGAATTGGTAGAAGTTAGAATTCAAGAGCCATTGAATCGGGTCCCAGTAGCTGAATGGTATACGAGCTTGCCTTGTAACCAGAAGGTCCTAGGTTCGAAGCCCAGTAGGTGCCTACTACTGATGATTCCCAAACTAGGGTGAAACAGCTGTCCAGTACTCCCTGGCTTTTAAAGGTTCTCTAACTGATATCAATACGTGATCAACTCGTAAAAATTAAAACAATACATTATTTGATCCTAGATTAAACTGCTACCAACAGAAATATTCATAAACAGTAGGAAAATCCCACTGTGGTATGTGCTACTGATAAGATTTATCAGTAGTATAGAAAGAGACGTTCATCTGCGTAGAAACATCAAATAGCAAGGAGGTGTTTTTGATGTCAGAGAAAGCAAACAATACAGAGTTGTGGAGATACAAGGGAGACATGAAAGGAAAACAAAGAAACACAATAAAAAGGACAGAAGTAGAACAACATGGACGACCTGGGTAATTGGTGCATTGAAGATAAGGTGTGCATAGTTTCGCTATACAGAGATACCAAATACTAAATAAACATTTTTATGCCATGCCTCTCGTCTTCTACCGTTACAACACGGTAGTGCTTGAAATTCTCATAAGACAGTTTGATGCTGAATAACAAATTGGGGTACAGATCCGATATATAATCTGGCGTGAAAAGGTATCAGAATATGAAGCTAAAAGCAATAGTCAAGTGAAAAAATCTGCCTTGAGGTTGATAAGAGCCCCCGGAAAACCCAGCATTGAAGATAATAAGTGGGGAACATAACAGGAATCTTTATAATGCGTTATGAAGAGCAATGCTGAAATTGTCCAAGCTTTGATTCCTAAGATCCTGAAGACCCTTAGCTTAACGATTTAGACAAACAAACTGATAGTTGTTACGTCCTGGTTCAATAAGTTTTGACTTTCTGACAAGCTTATCCTATTTGAGCTAAATACTTCTCGTCTAGAAAAATAGTAGATTATTATGCTTAACACACAGACTAGTAACCTTACTTGATGAAAATCTGCAACTCTGTCGACTAACCTGACACAGTTAAATAGGCATTCGTTGCTAATTCTCCGCACAATACACTCTCAGATGAATCTTGTTTCTCTAGACGTCACATTTCCATTGTAGAATCTCATCGAAAACCAACCACGAGTTTAAAAACGAAAGAACCAAAATTGTTGGTGGTCTAACTTACCTACTAGACTAATTTTTGGGACATATCCACTACAGCACTTCCAAGCTAAGAATTTTAACTGGAAAAGGATTGGGTTGCTTCAGAACTTCTAGGGGGAACCTTGAAATCACATATAATCCGAGATACCATAACTATGCCTAGATATATTGCTCTCTAGACGTAAAACTGAGATGAATTCGATTCGAGATATCCGATCCGTAAATATTACTGCGTAATGTTACAACAACTCATGTTTGCACATAGTTTAGAGAGTAATAAGAGGAAAATCGAAAATGACACAAGAAAGTTCGAAGTCTTACGTCACCGGATTAAGAGAAAAAGGAGAAAAAACATTTAAAGAAATGCAATAAGCACCACGATGAAAAATATGAATACATCTGCAGTAATACGAAAGATTCTGAATCATATCGTTTAGGGTCTCCGAATTCACATTCTGGTTGTTTCAAGGATACCAGCAACTCTTCTATCAAAGAGAAGATAGTATTATTTTAGGGCTGGAGGTGGGGTGGGTGGGTTAAAAACAAAACCCTATTGAAATGTAAAGCTTGAAGACAATTGTTCTACAGCAATGACATACTTACATTCCCATCTTAGGGATTTTTACAATTATTCGAGATACTGTAGTGTTTTTTCTTAGCTTCTGCCTTCAAACACCCTAGTGTCTGAGTGAAGTAATTTCATTTTAAGGGGGAGGGGGAGAGGAAAAAGAACAAAGCCGGTTAGTATAGATTGGACAGTGGAGGATTTTTGTACAAAACCGCATAGTTGACAAATAAATCACAGAGCATGACAATTGTCATTATCATGCCTATATAAGTGCAAAAATGATATTTCAGTAATAAATTCTAAAACTAGTAATGGGCGGATCAATAACAACCATTTATTATTTCAGGAAAAGGTTATGACATTAAGACAGCCAAAAAGATGCATGTGGGTAGAACTAAGCGAATTAGAAGTCATTGCTAAAGATGATGGTTATACAAAAATGAAAAAAGCATCCAATATGTTAAATCCTTGTCTTGATTTTTTTTTAACAAAGAGAAGTATGGAATAAAGGAAGTTTGCAACAAGTCTATATTAAGGAAAATAGTCTAAGATAATAGAGATAATGGTGAGGTGGGGGAATCACTAGTTAAGGTAACGACACGTCAAATTTAGTGACTAAATAAAGTTGACAATGGCAGAGAATTTCAAAGAAGCAGAAAAAAGGGCACACAGAAGAGTGAAAAACTAAAAAACAGAGGAATAGATACAATTATATTTATTTACAGCGCCATTAGCGTCAATTTAGTCGACTCAGATGAGTAATGAAAAAATTAGTCTGGACAAGTTTGTTTTGAATTAACAGATAGCAAAGTAATACTGGTCGGAGTGACAGATCCATTCGACATTACTGGAGAGTATTGTAGTCTTTACAAATCAGTTACTTCGAATACAAACAAGACTCAGACGTAATTCCCTCTGAAGCACTGACAACGGAACCGGAGACTGAGGAAGATGCGCTTATACCATTATTGCAAAAGGTTTGGAGAGAAGGAAAGGTACCTAGCGCTTGGAAGAAAGGCTACCTCGTTGATATGTAGTCACATGATGTCTACCTTGTTTTGACAGTCTGTTATATTTTGCTATGTGAATATTGATCGATATTCCATTATAACTTACAATATGCTTTGTCTGTCCATTAACTAAATAAACAATGTATGACCTTCTTGTCACATGACATTACAACCAATCAGAATCCAATCATGGTAAGATGTTTATCTTATTGGTTCATGTGTATTAGTCATTTTCATATATAGTATACAATTGGTGGATGGTGGCTAGCAGTGGAATCCAGGATGCGCATTTCGTCCTATTTGGGACTCGTCCAATCAACTCGGTCCAATCAACAGACGGGAAAATCAAAAATTCAATTCAATAATTAATATTACCCGTTGCACAAGAGGTGGCTCTCGTGGCCCAAGTGGTCTAGTGGATAACGCTTTGGCGTTTGAAACTATGGGTACTGGGTTCGAGCCTCAGCGGGAACATCATCACTCACTGGGGAATGCAGGTACATCCAGCTGACGAGTCCCAAATAGGACGAAATGCGCATCCTGGATTCCACTACTAGCCACCATCCACCAATTGTATACTAACTAAATGCCCGGACATCGTCGAATCATCTGCACAAGAAGCCGACATGTCAACCTGAGACCGAGCACTTTGGTCCAATCAATCGACGGGAAAATCAAAAATTCAATTCAATAATTTTCATATATACTTATGCATTGTACACTTTTATACACTTGTTCACACACATTTCGTGCACTACGTAACCTTCACTCTCACACTTGTGTGACAGTCACAATTTTCCTTGTTTGGAAAATACAAGTATCATTGTGAACGTGGTGGACTTCTGATTTTCATCTTTCCGCGTCAGGACTATTAACCACTCAGCAGCAGTACATAACACTCGTCAAGCTGCCAGAGGCGCGACTTAGGTCTCACTCTGCAAGAACTGGCATAGAATAATTCTTTTGTCCACGTCAAGTTAAATATGGAGTCGTGTCATGCTGGAAATACTATACGATGTTCTAGATGCAAAACTCTGACCCCAAAACAAGCTGGATTTAGGAAAGGGAAATCATGTGCTGATCAAATTACAACTCTACGCATCGTCAACGAACAAAGCACAGAATAACAGTCAAACCTGCAACCTTAACTTTATCGACTTTGAAAAAGCCTATGACAGAGTCGACCGAGAAGCTATTTGGAAACCACAGTCAGCTGGTACTGATGAAGATGTCAAAGCCAGTCAGAATTGGAAAAGCAAAATACGCCTTCATCAACCTGAAACCAGTTGGGAAATCTTCTGCTTTACTCAGTCAGCCAGCATAAAGAACAACATTCTGATTGCATTCAACACAAATGTGAAGTCAGTAAGCGAGTTACAGAAGGCATTTACAACAGACTGTTACAGACCTTTATCAACAGTTGCCACCTCCACTGGCTGGCGTCATACTGAAGATCAAGTCGCCAGCCAGCCAGAGAGAATTAGAAACGAAAAACTCTGGCTGGGAACAAACCCGGCAAGAACCGACTGCTCAACAAATATATGGGACAAAGTGGAGATGGATCGGACATACTCTGAGGAGAACCGTCAAACGACATAGTGCGCAGTGCAAGCCATCGCTCGAAAGGAATACGAATAGGAAGCGACAAGTGGGTTGTCAGTGCGAGGGTGACATGGAGGAGGTTGTTTAGGGATGAAGAGATGAGAGATTACGGTCAATCGTGGGCCCAGCTGAAGAGGATAGCAGGAAATAGAACCAAGTGGAGATGTGTTGTTGTAGCCCCATGTTCCACTCGGAAATCAAGTGAATAATAATAATAATAGCTTCTAAATATCTGTTAATCTGAAATAATCATATATAGGTAAATGAAACAACCTTTTGCACTAAGTATACTTGTTTTCCATTTAAACAAGTGAACTGAAACACAAACTTACAGTGGAATGTTTCCAATTGACTAAACTAGTGAGGTAATTCACGTGTGCTTAGACTTACTCTTTAAACTTACTTCTCTTTAAAATTGGCCATTTACACAGTTCCAGGTGAGATTTCACCACGGTTTCCTTTAGAAACTGAAATTGTTCACATTACAATATGCGATCTGCTTGATTCCACAATTGGTAATCAAGGGAGCAAGCATATCTGTATAAAACTATGTACTACTGATTGATTCCGATGAGTAGTATATCATCAGTAGTGTATCACTCACATCAACAACCAGTCGTGTTTTTCAGCCAGATTGAAGTGATCTAAACACCGGACAGCTATTTCGCTTCATTGAGGTTGAGCTAATCATCAGCGGTGTATCCGACTAGACTTAACTCACACTCTTCGGGGGGATGCATGAAATCAGTTCGGAAATGAAGGCGATGTGTTGTATTCGACAAGAAAATCACCTTCCTAGTAAAAAGCTGAACTAAATGATCCAATTGCAAATGACTTATTGAATTACCGTGCAGAAAAATGACTGACTAATCGGTTTCAAGCCAGTCTTGCACAGATGTGCAGTAGTTCGAGTTGCCACTCTTCCTCCCACACAACGCGAAAGAGAATAAAGAGAGGAGATTCAAAAGAAATATAATAAACAGAAATGTGAGGCGACAAGAATAGTTATATGGAAGAACAGTAGAGTTTTATTGGATACTATACATCACAAAGAGTGAATGCATCTGGGCCACCAAGAATGATTTTGAGCCATATCACCATCAACTGTGTCCAGCCTTCATTGGTTCTTACTATCCCGAGGACCCCATGCAGTAAAATATACAAAATACCTGTATATACACACAAACATATATGCAGGGGAAAAAAAAGAACTCACCTCATCTTCTGCAGTGGACAAATCGAATGCCAGATGAATGGTTTCAGTGATGTGTCTACACCAATTATTCGAGCTCGAGGAAATTGACGAGAAAGCCAGTCCTAAACGAGAATGGGTAAAGTAAGCAGTTTCTTAAAATATTTCAGACAATTATTAGATCAAAGACAGGATGATAAATTAGTAATGCAATATAGTACGCACCCACCGGGTTTTGAACCCACGACCTTCTGGTTACAAGGCGAAATTTATTTCACTCAATTATTATGATTTGATGTAAGATAACTGATTTATTGAAGAATTATTAATAAGGAAAGAGTTTGGCTGTTTATTCTGAATTTCTAACATTTATGAACATTGACAGGCATTGATATAGAATTAGGTAATATAATCACAGCAAAGTTTTGTCTGTTGCAAGATAAAAAAAAACAAAAAGCTTCACCAAGATTTCGAAATGATGAAATACTAAAACCAATCAAACCCTGCAAACCAACACTTAAATATCATGAACTGGCAGAAGTTGGAATCCATGGACTGGCCACTAGATCGAGTCCCATCGTAAACGGAAGGTCCTGGGTCCGAACCCGGGTGTACGGCGTGTACCGATGAAGAGTCTCAAACTAGAACGAAACATCTGTCCATTACTTCCTGGTTTTCCAATGGTCCTCTAACCGATGTCAGTTCATGATGAAATCCTGATATCGTTAAATACTCTAAGATTGAAGTTCTTCATTCTCTATAGACATATTTGAAAAAGCACAAAGTCTCTTTGTAACAGTTTGTGTGACGAAGAATCACAGTCTTGCATAACACAAAAATGCTGTATGAACTAATCACAGACGGAGAAAGTAGGCGCATATTCCATATTTATCTATACCTTAAACATTTTGCTATTGCACTTATATCTGTTCCAACTGTTTTCATATTATTCGGCTTAGGAAAGTTTACTGTACTAACACTGTATCATAGCTCAATTTCATCTTCACATAAATAAGAGATTCGCCGATGATGGGTTTTTAAAAAAAATTTATACCTCAATATTAAATGAAGGCAACTTTGAATAGTCCGATTAACTGAGCGCTAAGTAACGCAGGTTTGACACTTTATACACGATGAGTACTATGTAGCTTATATGCTGAAGAAATAGGGTATCAAATAGGCGTGAAAAAGATCACGTTGGTCTAATTGTGCAACCCAACATAGTCATCAGGCGTTGGTCAAAAGTAAATGCATATCTTTAGCATAATAAGCCCATAGGCGATCACAAAGTTATATGCAGTTGCGTGGGCACCTACATAGGAATAACTGTAAGCAAGCATCTACTGGATACTCTAAGCACCTTCCAAAACGTCTCTTCCTACAAGAAAGGCAAGAATATGGAAATGCAGAAGTCAGAAATAGGAGATACAGTCGAAAACAACTGAAACATCTCAGTTAACCACGTTGAGTTTGTCTTTGAAAGATGTTTTTATAGCTGAAATAATTGAATCGTGTTTGTCTAAATAGAGAAGAATAGCTTGATATATCTGGTTATTCAAGTAAGAATCATTCAACTTTGTTTTCCTTTCCATAGAGATTTTTATTATCCATGGTTAAATCGACCTTCAAGCTTTCAATTCATACATTTTGTTTAAATAACTGGTAAATCGCATCTAATACCTATACGCTTACACCCAAGTTTTCCAACTAGGTCAATCTTAATTACAAAAGATTTTGTATTTCCCAGTTAACGAAAAACGAAACGATATCGTCTCTACTGACGTTTCGCTATTTAATGCTAACGGCTTTATCAAAGTATTAATACGACAGAAGAGTACTTGATAAACACAACATCAGAGTTTTCTTCAAAATGTCAGACACACACTACAAGGTAACCTTGTCCATGTAAAACACAAAATCTCTAAGGATTCTCTCAACCTAATTGTATATTTAAAATAAAATGAGATATACATCTGACAAACATCGCCAAGGAGGAATCAAAATCAGAACAAATGAACACCCTAGAGCCGATTCTGTTCGACCACCGAGAAATCCAGTTAGTAAAATAGGAAAGCTGGAAAAATCATCAGCTATAGGTCATCGACACGCTACGCGAAAGAATCAGGTCACAAAATTGATTTTAACAATATTGAAATTATCCAGAAAAGCATTTCAGAAATCACAAAGGACGTCACATATCATCAGAAGCCAGCCCACACTTCATATCAAATGGAATCCAAATTGTCTGATGAACAGGAATGATGAACTTAAACAGAATTTCACTTGATTACAACAACCCCCTCCCTCATGAAATGACAAAATCAACACCAATGTCATCAGCAATTCCATTATGTAAGCACACGCTGCTTTCATAATCTTATACACTTATCAAATCCAACAATCTACACCTGGTTTTGTTATCTTCACCAATCGGCCAACTTGAAAACGTGAAAATCACCCCATGCTGATGAACGATGATTAAGTTAGTCGTTATATATAAGCTGAGATATTGTATATTCTGCTTTAATATTACTACTTTGATAAAGTTATTAGCAGCAGCATTAAATAGAGAAACGTCAGTCAAAACAATAATATCGTTTTGTTTTTTTCATTCATTGGGAAACACAAAATCTTTTTATAATAGCGTATGTTATATACCCAGTGCCTAAATTTATTTTAAACTGTTAAAAGTAAACTTCGTTTGGACATATATATATAGCTTAATCTTTTCCTCGTTTTGGAAGATTTCACTACGATGTGCTCAAGTTCTGATTGACGATCATTTTTAGACAGCTGATATTATCACTTTCTTATCACAACTGAAATATACTTATTCTCAACGTAAATCTTTATTTTCTTTTAAAAGTACAAAGTCTTTAGTGACAAAATGTGCTTATTAATCAATTAATTAAAAACATTAGACTACTCGCTGTCTCTCTCTCTGTATGATCGAAAGAAATGTATCATTTAGTCTGACACAATTTCTTCATCTAAAAAAGAACAAAATTTATTTGTGTGTAAAAATATTTACAAACATATAGAGTATATTTTCAAATATTGGCTTTGTATGGATTTCATTTGATTGGTTGGAGGATTTCATCACGAGCTGACATCATTTAGAGAACCATTGGAAAGCCATCTGGGAGTACTGGAGAGCTGTTTCGCCCCAGTTTGGGGCCCTTCAACAATACGCACCCAGTAATTCATAGGCTTAATGGTTTACAAGCTAGCTCGTCTTGTAACCAGGAGGTCCTGCTTTCGAACTCCGGGGGGCACATACTGGTGAAGAGCTCCAAACTAGTTGGACGAAACACCTGTCCAGTTCTCCCAGTTGGTTTTCCAATGGTTTTCTAACTAATATCAGCTCATGATGAAATCCTCCAACCAACATAGGGCATAGCATTTAAAGAAACACTCAATCAAATATATAAGGCTGAAAAACAATCGTTTTCCTTTGTCGAATATCAAACAAAATTCACTTGTTTGTGTGTATCAGTTACAGTCCTACAGGAAGTCAATTGTGAACACAAATAACTCAGTGCTAACGTCTATGACTAAAGTACTGGGTGATTATGAGTTCGAATCTCAGAGGAGACATCAGTTCTATCAAAGTTACGGATACGCCTTGCTCACGACTGCTAACAAGCGAAAAACCCAGGTTCAGAGTGAGTATCTTGCTGATCACCTCCAAATCTATCTAACAAAATCCCACTATATTAGATATCATGTAATACATACTACTTTAAATGGACAGCTAGAGTCATCAAAATCCTTGACTTCAGAATTCAGTAATGCCAATTAAATTTCAAAGGAAAGCTTGCAAATACACCGGGTTAGTCAGTGTCTACATTCATGCCAAGCTAGACTGATCGATAATCGACTAGATTTCCATGCGAGAAAAACAAAAAAATTTACAAACTTACACTGCAGGAGAAATTCAACTTTTTTGCACACACACACACACACAACACAATTTATCATTTAGATTTATGTATGAGTATCATCACCGGGGCGCAGGTGGTCGGGTGTGAGGACAAATACTCGCCGAAGACATTGACTAGCAGTTGCGCTATTTCGTGAATTGACAGAAGTTAGAATTGCCACCGATGCGTCGGTGGTATAGTGGTTAGGACTCTGGCCGACCATGCACATGGTCCGAGGTTCGATCCCCCTGCCGACGCACACCTGATATCTATGGTCGACCAGCTGAAAATTCCACACATGTACCCAAAAATACGGTGTGGAATCAAGTTGCAATCAAAAATAAATTTTAAAAAAACATAAAAATGATATTTTATGTAAAATGCTTACTCTAGGCCAACATTTTGTATACTGTGTTGCATCTGTAGTTAACATTGAATCATGTTGTCTCCATGTATAAAAGACACTACCAAGCATACCATTTACAAAGACAATATCAAAGTCATAATTTTCGTCGATATCTCTACGGTCAGAAAAAACAAACAAAAAATGTACCAAAAGCAAAAATTAATTAATGTACAACTAATTGATTACATTTAGCTTATCTTATAGTTAGTAACTGTCGAGCGGTTGGAGGTAATCAGCAAATCGAGCTAGAATAGCTCAGTGGTAAGTATTTCTGATTGTATCACTAGGTTATGCAGGTTTGAATCCCAGAAGGGACATGAGTTCATTCATAATTGTACATACGCCTTACTCACGAGTGTCAGCAAGCGAGAAACCTGGGTCTACGGCTTCCTGCTGATTGGCTAAATTTCAAACTTGACCAACAACAGGATTTAATCTGCGCAAATTGAAGGATGAGAAGCTTGACATTAGTTCAGACCTACTGTTGAATCAATGTATAGACCAGAAATTATAACCTTCTAGGGTGTTTGTGTTGAAAATTCATGACAATAAGTGCTTCTAAAAAGTCTCATTTTCAACACACACAGACACACAAAAAGCACTAATTACATTCTACTAAGTCCCCAAACAGGATGTGATAACTGTCTTGCGATTAAAATACATTATAAGTACCCGTAGGAACTGAGCTCTTGGTTTTGATAACTTGGACAGATACATAATGTTTCTGTCAATAATTTACTATTACCTCTTAAGTGGACACCAACTAGTGTCACGTATCTAGCCCGTTGTTTAATGCAGATTGAATTCTATCAGTCATCGTTGCAATGTAGCCACCGTGTTAGGTGGCTGGCCATGACGGTACACTCATTATTATTATTATTGTTCCCTTGGGTTCCTAGTGAAACACAGGGCTTCAAATGCACGTCTCCACTTGCTTCTCTCTTCTCCTGCACTTTTCACCTGCATCCATGTTAGTCCATACTGTTTCAACTCCTCTTCGCACGATCTCCTCCATGTCACCCTTGGATGTCCCAATCGCCGCCTCTCTTTCGGGTTCCACTCGAGCAATCGCCTAACGCGCGCGCGCGATGTCACCCAGCGGCCTCCTCAGCGAGTGTCAAATCCATCCATCTCCACCTTCTCCTGCATATTTGTTGGGCGATTGGTTCTTGTTTTCTTTGTTCCCATAGTTTCTTCTTGGTGATTCTTTCCGGCCCGGCCATCTGATCTTCAGTATAGAGCGAAGACAGTTGTTAGTTGATAAAGGTCTGCAACAGGCTGTTGGAAATACTCTTTGTGACCCGCCCGCCAAGTTTCTGATCCGTATAGAAGAACTGACTTGACGTTTTTATTGAAGATCCGAATTTTGTTGTTGATTGAGTTGAGTAACGAAGATTCCCAGATTGGTTTCAGGTTGGTGGCGAATGTGTTTCTCGCCTTCCCGATTCTCGCTCGATTTGACATCCTCGTCCATTCCAACTGTCTGTAGTTGAGACAATGCTCCCTAGATGATAAGTGAATGAAGTAACCTATTTCAAATCCCTCCTGTTGATGGTACACTCAGGATTGCTGTAAACTTGACTGATAGAGTTCTGTCTGTATCAACACCAAGGACTAGACACATCAAACTAGTTACTAACTTGTGTCCAATGGAAGTATCCAATACAGTCCTACAGGAGGTCAATCGCGAGTCCGAATAGCTCAGTGGTAATATGTATGATTGCATCAATGGGTGATGCAAGTTCGAAACTCAGAAGGGGCCTTCAAGATTGTTCATACGCCTTGCTGAGTGCCATCTAGCACGAAACCTAGTTGAAAAGCTTCCTGCCGATTGCCTCCAACTATCTAATAATTCCTATTACCTCTGTTTACTCTACACAGTGATAAATAAAAATGGCCAAAATCAGTCTCAAAAATATTTAGACAATTACAGTTCTGGCTAGTGAACCGATTTAGGTATCAAGGAATGATGACTGATGATTAAAAAAAAAACCTGACAATCAATCCACAAGACTCGAGTCAAGTATCCATGGATGCCCAGTTCAGCGTAATAAATGCAAAACTCAAGTATCGTGAAAATAGATATCCCATATTTTTGAAAAGACAGGCAATTATTATACCATTGTTGAAAAGATTTAAGAACCTAGTCACCAAATGACTCTGAAAGATCAAGCAAGTGATCCACAAGCTACTGATTCAATGTGTGTAGTAAGTCAGGTTTTCTACCAACATCAGTTATCACTTCCCTTAGTATAACAACAGGTTAGGAACTATTAAATGTCTAGATCAAGTGAAGAAATCTATTGATTATATTAACAGTAAACATTATGACCACCCAACTCATATGAATTTAAGCACTCCACTTTCCAGTCCCTTTGGCGAGTAAACTTTATCAGAGTATTTTTATGATGAAAGCATAAAAAAGGTAAGTAATTCAGTGGAGATGCCCAACAGGAGGGTTTGAAAAATAAAAACCAATTATATAGATGAATATAGTACTACGCCTAATCTTCTTTATCATGTTTAAATGAGAAGTTTGGTACACTTTTTACCAACGAATGATGCCAGTATTGTCCATCCCTTGAAATCAAAAAAAAATCTTTAGTCAGCTAGGACATTGTTTTCGTCCAACGAAGTGTTGCACATTAAAAACTAGAGAATGTAGTTTGTCGCCTTATTTCTGAGATCTTTCTCTCTTTCATTTCTGACAATAGGCGTATTTTTGATCACAAAAACAAAAACCTTTTCTCACTAGGCTTTTCACACTGCGGCTTCAGTCACAGGCGGAACACGGATGAAGGTGTCAACATCAACCAGAATCTGAAAGGTAACATACGCCTTCACCAACCTGAAACCAGTTGGGAAATCTTCTGCTTCACTCACTCAGCCAGTATAAAGAACAACATTCGGATTCCGTTCAACACAAATGAGAAGTCAGTTAGTCCTTCTATATGGGTCACAAACTTGTATTGTGTGTCAGTCACAGAAAGCATTTCCAAAAGCCCGTTGCAGACTAACATAAACAGCTACCACCTCCGCTGGCTAGCTCTATACTGAAGATCACATTGCCGGCCGGCCACCCAGAAAGCATTAACAACAAGAAACTCTGACTTGTGATGAACAAACCAACCGAACCACAGCCGATCGCTCAACAAATATGAAGGAGAAAATGGGAAAGGATTGGGCATACATTGAGGAGGTCGTCGAATGATATCGCGCGCAATGCAGGCCATCAGTCGGATGAAAGTCTGATAGGAAGCAACGAGTGGGACGTTGGTGCAAGGGTGACATGGAGGAGATGAGAGATTATGGGCGATTGTGGGTGCAGCTGAAGATGAGAGCAGAACATAGAACAAAGTGGAGATGCATTGTTGGAGCAGTATGCTCCTTTGAGAACCCAAGGGAATAACAACATAATATATTAAAATATTATTAAACACATGCAGGTAAAATGAGTGGGATCAATGCAGCAACAACTTTCCGGCTAATCTTTAAAAACAACAAAGTATAACATTCTAATAACGAGGATGAGAGTCATACCATATTTAAAAAAATAGGCATAAAATATTTGAATGCTGTAGTCAGTCACATGTACTATAGCACATCATCTAACAACTAGGTTAAAAAATAATGATACTAATAATAGTATGCTTGTCCAGAAAGCAGAACACATTTTACACAAAAAGGAGTAACACAGCTTGGTAACCCGAAAGATATACACATATAGATTAACATAAATGAAACAACATAAGAGAGAAATTTTACAGGTAGTAAGAAAGAAGGCTAACAATTAACGAATGGACTCTGATGAAAGTATCAAAGACGAATTTTATGACAATCTTCAAGAGGCAATCAACAAAATCCCAAAGCGTGACGTTCTCATAGTAGCCGGCGATTGGAACGCCCGCACTGGCCCTTCAGACGACGCGACAAAACATATACTAGGCAAACACGGTCTCGATCAGCGCTGCCGTAATGGTGATAGACTTTTAGCTTTTTCTGATTACAATCGATTATATATCACCAACACTCGATTTCAACACCCCAGAAAACATCTTCTCACCTGGTATTCGAACGACGGTCGCACTGCACATCAGATCGACTACATCCTAGTGCGCTCACGCTGGATCTCCTCGGTGGAAGACTGTCGATCCTATCGTGGAGCAGAGGCCGGAAATAAAGGGGGATCAGACCATACTCTAGTTAGGGCGAAATTCAAACTTCGTTTAACGACACGCCAGAAGGCGCGACCTCCGAAGCGTATCAATGTTGCCCCGCTTCAATGTTCGACAAAGCGACAAGCCTTGTCCAAACAAATCCAGGCCGAACTAAGCGCCGCAGATGAACCAACATCCACATCTTCTAATACACCCGAGACACGATGGAATCATTTCAAAGAAGTAGTCTCTAAAGCTTCAATGTCGCATTTGGGTACCACATCCAAGAAGCAGAAAGACTGGATTTCAGAGCACACCATGCTTCTATCCTCGCAAGCCAGAGACGCTCGCCTAGCAAAGTCTCCAGTTTATCGCTCCCTCAGGCGCAAAGCTACACAGTCTGCTAGGAACGACAGAAATCGCTATTGATCTAACGTATTGACTAACATGGAAGCAGCATCAAATGTAGGCGATTTCGGAAAACTTTATCGCCTCATACGCCAATCATCTGGCAAACGCCTTAACAGTCATGCTGTGTTACGCACAGCATCAGGAGAAATTATTTCGGACACCAATGGTAAGATGGAACGATGGGCCGAACATTTCAAGCAGCTACTCAATCGCGACGCTGGTCAACCGTCTCATCGACCGATACGACACTTACCAACACCCTACGTAGTTGACTGCGATCCACCCACTCCAACCGAAATAGCTAAAACAATTAACAGACTCAGAAACAAAAAAGCTCCGGGCGAAGATGGTCTACCCCCAGAAATATACAAGGCCTGCACTCCAGCGCTAATCGATGCACTGCACTCGCTGTTCTGCTCAATTTGGGAGTCCGAAACCATTCCTTCCGATTGGAGCACCTCAGTTCTGCTACCGTTCCACAAAAAGGGAGACAGGTCAATATGCGAGAACTACCGAGGCATAAGTCTGATTGATATCGCTGCTAAGG